TAATAGAAATAGGAGGATCACCCCTTGCTGTCCTTGACGCCTGAGTTTGAATAAATATTTCCTCCTCATTCCTTGGTAAAAATTTCCCATTTGGATCATGCTCACCAGTACTCAAAAATGAAAGCAAGCTCAGAAGAAAGTTGTTAACTCAGGGACTGTAGAGGGGGAGGGGCTGGTAGGGCTATAGCCCTACCACTTTTATTGCCTGGATTTATTCATTAGGGCTCCAGCTGAGATGGTCAGAATATAGATTTTACTACTTGAAAGTAATAGAAGGCATCAAGCCAAAGGCTTGGTAAAGCTTTACAAGATAAGTGTTGAACACTTCCTTAGTGTTTGCTGGTTTGTATCAGCCAGATTTTTTAGCCCTACTTACTTTAAATGGTCTCCGCAGTCCCTCAGCAACTGCAGAAAAAGACAAGAACAAGATAAAAAGGAAAAGCATTAAGCAAAAAAACAAAATACAAAAAGCCAAAATGTCTAGTTAAAAAGTTGGGTTTGACTTTTGTGAATGCTTGTGTAATTTAAGAAGTTACCAAACAGGATGCTAGTACAAAGAATGTTCTCATGTTACATTTTGAGTAGTTTGGACTCATAACTGACCAGAAATGTCCAAAAAGGCATATTATTTTTTCAAGAATCTCCATGTTTCAATGAGTTAAATAACTCTGTTGTAAGGATAGCTAAAAGGTTCCTTTTTTCTTGCATCTGGGTCAAAACCAAACTCAACTAATGTGTTTTTAACAAATCATTTTGTTAATTTTTCCTATTTTTTTCTATAGTACTATTGATAGCTGGAATGAAAATTATATATTAGACTGACACAAACAATTAATAGATCTATTGACTATCAACCTAGTATATATTCACTGACTATTGAGTGATTACTTAAGCATTAATTACTTTTAAGTTTCTGACTATGGGCTGATTGTAATAACCATTGACTAGGTGTTGATTGATTATTGATTAAGTGTCGACCAATACTTGATGAATTGTTAGCAAGGTTTCAGCGAGGTATTGGCAATTATTTACTTTTCTTGTGGTTGATTTGAAATGTCTATACATGGCTTTCATGCTCATTTTCGAATTTGGGCCAAATGTGCACACCATAGGTGATTTTAAAAGAGGGACCCCAGAGACCATTTGACACTGCTTCAAAGTGTTTGTTTCAAAATATGTTGCAATTCAGTGGACCATATGAATGCCCATATTGTCTTCATCCTGGTGAAACTGTGAAAATTAGTGAACGAGGGTCCACAAGGCCATTTAATACCCCTTTCATATAAAAGAAATCAAAATGAAGAAGGGATCGAGACAACAAACTTAACTACCAGGACAATACAATTGGGAAATGGACACACAAACAAATGCTACTATTTGTTGAATGAAGCATCAGTACCTTTTCAGTATAGTTAATTCCTACTTAATCAGACCTGAACATGATTTACATTTGTGCGGGACATTTAAAGTATACTTGTACCCTACATCAACGACAAAGAAAATGATTTTTACTCAAGCAGTATCCTTAAAGTGTACTTCAAAAATGGTACTGCAGTTGTACTTAAGTAAGTGCATTACAATCGAAGTGTTATTGAAGTATGATTACAGTATTATCCATTATTGATGCAGTATACTTGTATGAAGTACTTCAAGGTTATCTTTTTTGGTAAGGAAAGGTATTTGTGAAGTATCAGTGAAGTATCGCTAAAGATTATCCTTCCTCACTATTCCTATGCATCAGCCTTAGAGGCACTGAATTTACCAAGCCTTCTTCTGCGTCACGAGTCCTTGTGCTCTAAAAGTTTTTCCAAGTTAACTATTCTTGCTAATCCACGTTTCATGCCCTTCCTCCCCACCCGGCACTGTGATGCTAATGACTCCACTATTCCTTTGCGCAATTCTTCTAATTTCATACTCCTGGGGCAGTAAATACCGAGTGTTTCAAACAGAGCTTTATTCCATCTATGATTTTTAGACAATAAATAGTGTACATTACCTTGATTTTAATTTATTAGGATACCTTTACATATGAACTTTTTTTAATTTTATTTATTATCTACTATTATTTAGTACATGTATGTTTGTAAATCAGTCCTTATTCAATACTTGTATTGCCAGAACTGATAATATTGAATAAAACTATTGTTATAAACCTATTATTAACTAAATATATTGACCGAGTTTGGACTGAGTAATCAATTTTGGCCAACTGTCAGCAGGCAAATACATTGGTTGACTGTTGGCAGTTAGTGGATACGTGTCAGCCGACATACTGGGCGAGAGTGTGCACTTACGGCAAACTTGATCTGCTATTACTATACTCCTCTTTAAATCATGATGAGCTGTGTGCTTCTTAGTTTCACATTTCTCCAATGTTTTTGTCTTGAATGAGATTAGCCACTTGGTAGGGAATAATGCCTCAAAGTATCCAAAGGATGTGCAGCACAAGAATGTTGTGATTCTGGGACTCCTTATTCAGAAAGGGGTATTATTTTTTTGAGGTTTCCCTGAGAATCAGTCATGATACGTAAATTAAAGGGTGAAGATTACACATGAGCAACACTAGCGATTTGAAATGACTTGACATTCAGAATTTGATGGAAAAAACAAGATGATTAAAACATTTTAGACACTTGGTAGCATGCAGAAAGCTTTACGTTTGTAAGATAATTGTGTTGCAATAACATGCTGAAGTTGTGTTGCCCTAATTAATGTAGAAATATTCTAGTATGGATTTTTAGTACAAAAGCTTTCTGAGTTTGGTCCAAAATTAAACATATTGTGGGCACAATTACCCAACCAGAGATACCCAAGTACCCCCCCTCCCTCTCTAGGACTAAAGAAAATGCTGTAAAATCTTGTTGAAGATGCATGACAACTCATGTGGTGTAGAAATACCATTATGACCATTTAAAAATTGATGTTAATAAGTCTTTAAGTAGCCATGTTTAGTTGATGATTTATTAATTTTCTTTTTTTTTCGGCAAGTACAAAAAAAATGTGGTGGAAAAGGCACCAATTCATTTATGTAAACATTTAAAAAAAACATCTCAAACTATTCCACACATGCAATCAACTATAATATATTGATGCACCCCAGCCTCTGGGTTAAGGTTACTGCTTAATGGCCCTGGGTGTAGCCAGCACAGCAGGCATGATTTGGAAAGTGAGTGCTCAGTATTCCATTATTGAAAATTATAGCTCTGTTTTTGATTTTTACAGGAGTAGAAGGCTGGGGAGGAAAAAGAAATGTGTACCAAGTGGTTGAGTGATGGTTGAAAGGAAGGAGAGGGGAGGGGCTGGGGCAAAAGTCTTTTCCCCTTACCCCACCCCCACCATCTGCTCTAATTCTAAATCAAACATGGCAGGTTGATAAGATGACCATGAGCTTGTAATGTCACCATGCCCTGTTAAAACAATTAACTGTTAAGCACTGCAAGCTACCTTAGGTGGGATGTTTAAACCTAATAATCTTTATGTACTCTTGTTCTTGAACAAAGAAGGGTAGCCATGCATCAAATTCTCAGATGGGTATAACCTCTAAAACTATACCTCAGTTAACCAAAGATGGTATGATCATTCGATATCAAAACTGATTGCTTTGACAAGTTCACCAGTGCTTATTGAAATGCCCTCTTTGTGAACCTAATTTGGATGCCATAACCTTACATCTGCTCTGTTTTTCATAAATTAATGTTGAATTCAAGTTAGATAAATTAATCTGACAATTGTTCTGGCATATTTTGCTGGTAATTAGGCTCAGAGGCAAATTAAAATTTGGTAATTTTTTAAAGTAACACCCTCAAATGTTTAAAAGAATATAGGGTGTGTTTTATGAAGCATGCATGATCTGTACAATTAGTGTGGAACCCTAGTCTCAAATGTTTAGAATAATTATTATGAATGTTTGCCACTAAGAGGAGCTGAATTGGTTTTGAAAAGGATCCTGAGGGTCAACACTTTTAGCTACATACACTGGTAGAGTCCTGACAGTCACATTAAAAAAACCACCACAGTCAGCTGTACACTGGATGCTGAAAAAGATATTAAACAATAATCATGGCAGGATTGATATTGATTACCAAGCTTGCGAAGGCAATTATGAATTTCTTTCCATAAATAATGTTTATTTATATGAAGTTCTGCGGCATGTTATTCAGATGTTCTTGCAGATAGGCTACATCCCAAGTTGTTACTAAATTTTGGGAAAAAGGTGCAGCGTATGTGCCATGAGTGTTTACAGTACGTCCTGGTCTACAAGATATATTGGATTTCTATGGTTGTCTTAGTTTCACAGCAGTGAGAGCTCACAGACAGACTGTTGATACACTTGTCTAGATTGCATATGGAAGTACAAGTTTTGGGTTAGAGGCTATTGGTTTACTAGAGCTCCAATTCTCCTCTCCATTAATTAATATTTTCAATTTAGTTATTGTATTTTGCTATTATTATTATAATGATATGCCACAAATTGGGGAGTGATTGGCTACCAAAAGTTTTTAGACAGTGTGAACTTTAGTCAAATATTTGATGCTGATGCACTCATGCAAGCCTTGTTGAGTCCTTTTTTGCTAACTCTGCTTGAATTAATAAAGTGACAGCTAGCAGTCAATTTTTGTTACCAGAATTTTGGTGAACTCTTTTCCTTTCTGGTTTTGGTGAAGGATCACTAAGGAGATATTTTTAGTCATGCTTGTGTTACTCAGATGTCTTAATTAAAATTCTGTTTTTCTGGTAATGATGACAGAATTTCTGTTTAAAAAAGAAGAAAATAATTTTTGCTCATAAAGTACCGCAAGATAGGCTTAAACTAGACCTCATACCTAATCTAATTGCTTACTTAAGGCCCATGGGAACCATAACAAATTTAGTCATTAGAATGTTTACTTTTTGGTAAATTTTGGTAACATATATACCTTATGAAAAATAAGGTGAAACACATTTTTGTTCAAATCCCATTGTGATTGATGATTGCATGTTTATAAACTTTTTACCTTTAGGTGAAAGTCTACAACAGATTGGGACTAATACAGAAACAAATCAAAACAAGTCTTCTTTCAACCAACAATGGGGACCAATGCAGGTGCCCAACAGCAGTGCTTCTCCTGTCCAACAGGAGGAAGCTGTTGGGGAAAAAGGCCCAAGGCCATCATCAGTAAGTGGTCATTGCTCAGACAAGACTCCAGCCGCAACTGATCCAGATAACAAGGACCTTAGGAAGGCTGAAGAAATAGCAACTGGATTTGTGGAAGGGGGTTCTGCAGCAGTTTCCAACACACTTGAAAGGGCTGAAACAGGTGAAAGATTTGTGGAAGGGGGTTCTGCAGCAGTTACCAACACATCTGAAAGGGCTGAAACAGGTGAAAGACAAGGAGAGGACATTGCCTCAGAGGTAAAGCAGCTTGACAACCTCAACCTCAGTGCTCTCCCTGTTGAACAGGAGGAAGCCGATCCAGCTGAAAAAAACCCAGAGCCATCATTAGACAGTGGTCATTGCTCAGACAGGACTCCAGCCACAACTGATCCAGATAACAAGGACTTAGGGAAGGCTGAAGGAGCAGCAACTGGATTTGTGGAAGGGGGTTCTGTAGCAGTTACCAACACACCTGAAAGGGTTGAAACAGGTGAAAGACAAGGAGATGACATTGCCTCGGAGGTAACACAGCTAAACCACCTCAGCCTCAGTGCTCTCCCTGTTCAACAGGAGGAAGCTGCAGCTGAAAAAGGCTGCAGACCATCATCAGAAAGTGGTCATTGCTCAGACAGGACTCCAGCCACAACTGATTCAGATAACATGAACTTAGGGAGGGATGAAGAGGTAGCAAATGGAGTTGTGGGAGAGAGTTCTGCAACAGTTACCAACTCACCTGAAAGGGCTGAAACAGGTGAAAGACAAGGAGAGGACATTGCCTTGGAGGTAAAGGAGCTTTATAACCACCTCAACTTTTAACTTTACTTAAACTCTCTTTCTGTACTTGACAGTTGTAATTATAGTTATGATGTATTGATATGAGACTTGAGTAAAAAAGAACCGTACATTATCAATCAAGTCTAACTGTAGACCTGGGAGAGTTGGCATGTATGTATCACTGACATTTAATTCATTGCTGATGTTTACAAGTCAAACGTTGAGTCACATGCGTGAAAGGTCTTCCATAGTCATTGTGAGGTCTGAAGAGGAGCTGAAGAGAGAAAGACTAATTAGGTCATATAACAGTTGAAAGTGCTGCATTCTTCTGTTATTTGAAATGACCTACTTTGATGTTTAGTGGGAGGCCCCCTCTCCCACTTACACTTGTTGCTAGTCACTTTTCAACAACCAAGGGAAATTGTATTTTACACAATTTTTTTTTAACTTTAGCAAAAAGTCGAAAACAAAGGCAAGGGAAAGGAGGAGGAGGGAAGCACTCCTCAGCATCAATCCTCAATGTAAGTCTATTCTGAAAGGAATCCTCCTGAGATAAGTACTTGAAAAAATGAAAATAAAGTCATAAATACCAAGTTTACATTTCAATTTTCACAGGTCATTATTTTTGTGCCTACTGTGCCTTCCCTCAAGGAAGGCCACACATAGTGTTCATAACCCTTCCCCCAAGCCCCTCGAGGTTTTTTTAAAGCGGCAAACTATCGTGAGACATTTCTTGTGACTTGTCTTGGTTCAGTTCCAATACTGGCCACCTTTGAATTAATCTGATCGGGTTTCTTTGGATTCATTTCTGTTTTTTTTGGGTTTAGTTAAGTTTTTTTCCATGGCCTTGCCTCTGCATTTACACATTGTTATTGATTTAAATGTTAAAGCTGTGTCATCATGCCTTAATTCACACATGACTGTGCATTTTACTCTGATCATATCAACATATTATTTGAAGGAGAATTGAAAATGGAATGAACAAAAAGGGAAAAAGAAAAAAAAGAGAAAAAGAAAAAGATAGTAGGTGCAGCCAGCACAGGAGTAGGTATATTCATGGCACTGGGTACACAGAGCATATGAAGTGATAAAGTTTTGTATTGCAATAAATTTGATTCACAATTGATATGTGTACCTATATAAAACTTCCTGCCCTAACCCTGGCCTGCCAATTGACAAGTGTACAGACTCTGCTCTAACCAAGTCCTCGTTTCATCACAAGTTTCACACTGGCAAGAGCCATTCATTAACCTCTCTGCATTTTACATTGCATTGCTTTTTGACTGCAATACTTTACAACTATACAACAGTTATAGGCACATAGGCTGTTTTTAATCAGGATTTGAGATTGAGGAATGTAATTGTACCCATTTGTCGAATCTAATTTAAAACCTGACATAACTTTGATAGCTCTTAGCTATATTTTCAAGCTGCTAACCCAGTGTGATGGAAATACAACAAAAGTGCATCTTTAAAGTTTGATGTAAGCAGATTGGTACAATGAACCAAGCTTTGAAACCACCTTACTAAATGCTCCAATTGGGCCCCAAATTGAGTGACCATTAAATGTAAAATGATGAAATCTGTTTGTATGATAGATTGCCTCTAAATTTCCCAAGTTAAAATTTCCATTGCTTAAAGACATAGGGGTAGTTTTACAGACTGAATAATTTCAATATTGCTTTCTTTTCCCTCAAAATTTGCTGACTGCTCTGGATTTTGCCATTGCCTAATATACATCTGGTCACTCTTAAACTCAAATTTTGGGAGCTTTTTTTTTCTGGTTATTTTTTTCTGGTTATTGACATCAGTGATGCTTGATTAAAAGACACATAGTGTCGGTTTTGTGAGGTGTGAACGTGGGCTGCAAAGTCATGGGCCCTTTTTAGCCTATTATTTTTTCTCCTTCATTGACTTCTTCATGATGTGGCGCTTCTCTCACCATCAAGGGGTGATCACTACCCTATGTATTTCTCTGACACTATCTCAGCACAGGCTTGATTCATAGCTGTTGTCCAGGCTTTTTATATTCTAGTGGTGCAGGTCGTGATCAGCCCACCTATTGTTATTTTTCTGTTGTTGTATTTTGATAATACCCAGATTCTTTTGGGTGTATTTCTCTTTCTCTTCCTTGCAAACCACGAGGCTTCTATAGCAACTGGTACTGTTATGGCTTCCATTTGCCCTATTCTTTTAACCTCTGTTTCTGCAAGGTCTTTTTCTTTGGACATAATTGTTTCCTCTGACTTTCACTGGTGTGTTGTTTTTCTTTGGGATTTATATCCTGATGAGTAGGCAGCCTTTTTTTTCGTTTTTGTCCTTGATGGCGATGTCTGGTCTGTTGGCCTCTATCTCATGATCTGTCTGTGCTGGCTTATGTTCCGAAACAACATATCATTTTCTCTGAAATGATGTTGGGTTCTACTTGCTCACATAATTCACCTTCCCTGTTGATTTTGAGCTCTTTAAAAATGTTTAAGTGCAGGTGCGTGGCTTGCTTGTCTTGCCTCTATAGTTATTCAGTTTTCGGCTGCTCATAGTATACTGCTTCAATGTGGTTAATGGTTTCCTGGAATTTACACTGATCCTGCAAACTGGATCTGTACCATCCACTAGGATTTTGTGTCTACAGTACCGAAGACTGCATCATACTATTATGAGCTAGTTTATTTGTAGTTGACGAGCTATATGCAATAGAAACCGGTTGATAAACCAATGGTAATCTTCTCATCAATATTATTGTTGTTTTCATTACTATTATTATTATTATTATTATTATTATTATTATTACTATTATTATTATCATTATCACTATGATAACAACAATAGCCCGTAAGAAAACCGCGTCTTTTTTCTTTGCAATAATTATGTCTAATAAATTATGTTAATTAATATTGCTTTTTTTTTTTTTTTTTTTTTTTTACCGTTCTATTTCATCACCATAGACCCCCCAAACAACTTCAAGGCACATCTGAAGCTGGAGTTACTGTAGTGTTCCATGTTCTGGTTTCTTCAGTGTTTGAATTGACCGACGGAAATCTTTCCATACGGGCAAGAGGGGTTGAGTTTGGAGATTTTGAACGTAGCTGTGTTGATTTGCGTGCAGTAGAGTAAGTACATACCTTTGTTATCCCCTTTCAAATAACTGTGCATGACATCGAACATCTCTTTTGCTCAAAGTAAGGCCGGAGTAGGATGACTTACCGCAACGTCAGGTATTTTCTTTTTAGTGGAGAGCTTACAAATCGACGACTTCCTAAACGACGACAACTTGTTTTCATTCGAAACAGTTTTTACGCATGCGCTACCGGATTTTGGTTCTTTTTCTGCGTTATCTTCAGTTGGGCAAGACTTCAAACTAGCTGTTTTGAAGTCGTCTTTTGCTTGCTACGGCTAACTCTTAATCCAAAACAACTTGAAAATATACCGACAGGAGCTTAAAACATTTTTTGCCCTGATTCAACGTAAACGTTGCCGTAGTTTGCAATTTATTACAGAGAAAAGATCTTAAACGAAACCAACAACTCCAGCGTCCACAGCATAACCACCATATAAGAGAATGAGAAGGTAATGTCTTACTGAGGAGAGAAGAAATGTTGTTCGAACTTTAGAAGCCTTGAGTGAGGAAATTACTTCAATCCAACTATAAAAAGCTTGGATGTCCTTGAATCGGTAGTAAAAGCCATGCCTTAATGTGTCATTGTAGTCGATCCGAGACAGACTTAGAATATTAAAAAGAGATTTTAAGAAGAAGGATCGGTTCGAGCAAAATGCTACTGGAATTTCGCCCAAGAGGAAAGAAGAACAAGAAAAAAAATTCGAGAAAACCTCTGGTGGAAGGCGCGAGACTTGGCCACAGCTAAAGACCTTAAGGGGAAGGTCGCAGAGTGTCTAGCAAAAACAAAGGAAAGAGCTGGAAACAATGAGGTAGTTAAGAGAGGCAACGGCGCAACAATATGAGCTGAAACAGGACGAACTAGAATTTAGAAAGAAACAAGAAGAAAGGGCTTTAGCATATTAAAACGCGATAATCCAGCAACCACAAGAACTGTCCAGGAAATTCCAGGGCCAGGTGAGAAGCCAGCAACAGTAATTCCAGATGATCTATCAAATGTTCAAGAAAAAAAAATTGGCAACAACCCCAGGCACCACTTGAATTTTTGAAAAAGGGACATTAAATACGCATAGAGATACATATTCTGAGAATGATTTATTTGATTGTCTTGTATTAGGTTATTGGCAATGCTGAAGAACAATTAAAAAAGCTGCCGTGTTACAGGTAGATTTCATGTTGTCGTCGTGCGTCTGTACTAGATATAGATCACAGATGACGTCACGAGCGGTAAGAACCAAAAAGTGGCACATGAGGCGCCAAGTATGTCTCAGATATTCTTGCCATATTTTGAAATCTTCTGTGATCTATTACTATTTGTGCAATTACTAGAAATTCTCGCACGGTCGTCGGACAAGAACTGTCGTCCATAAGGCTATAGAAGATAAAAAGTGACGTATCATGTAACGCAATGCTCGGAAATCTCGCCAATTGCAAATTTCTGAGATATGGACGATAACGAACTTCCGAATTTTAGGAACGGTATTCCTGAGAGATATATGATGGACAGTTGAAGACGGTCAGAAGAAGAGATGGATGGAGTACTTTGAAAAGTTACTTAACACACCAGCTCCACAAGATCCACCCGATATCCCACCAGCCAATGATGACCCACCAATCGACTGTGATCACACACCAAGAAGGAAATATATCAGGCCATCAAACAGTTGAAGAATGGCAAGTCAGCAGGACTCGACAGTGTTCCAGGAGAGGCATTGAAAACGGATATGGTAACTAGTGTAGAGCTACTGCACCCCCACTTCAAGAGGATGTGGGAAGAAGAACAAGTTCCATCAAAATGGATGGAGGGTGTAAGGTTTATTGACAGCTATATCATATGATTTCTCACCGCGTGCGACAAAATAGGTTTGATATTTTAAACCTATATGATTTTGTGTTTGTGTCATTAAGTTCGGTTGTTGATAAAAGGCCAGCACGTTTTGGAGAGTACGAATCGATTTATGAAATGGCGCCCAACGTGAGGCAGTGATCGCACGACGAAGTATGTCGAGGAATTAGCGCGAATCCGTGCCAAGCGCAGCGGCATTCGAGCTGTGTTAAACAAACTTATGAATGATCTCTTGCAACAAGATGAATCGGAAACGCCACGCCTACAAGTTATCGTGGAATTATTAGGCGCAAAACTCGACTTAGTAAAATCTCTGTACAAAGAAATTATTGAAGTTTGTAACGTGGACGAAATCGAATTGGAAATTGAACTAGCCGAAGAAATAAATCTGCGAGTTCTTTTAAAGATTCGAGCTGTTAAGGACGCAACAAGTCAAGATGCTAGCGACAAGATTAAGAAAACGCATGGACACGAAACCTCCCCTTCTACGTCACAAGCATTTACTTTTCAACAAACTGTGGATTCAGAAGACGAACAACCTCGTCCTAGACTGGGGAGCGCGGCTGGTTTTAGAATTGAAACTACGATACACGCTGGAGTTTCTGCGACTCATGATGAACCACAAGGTACGAATTTAGCATTGCCAAATAGTAATGACGGTAACTTTAGCGAGAACGCTAATCCGAGCTACGTTTATCCTTTGGCTCGCCAACCAAGCGCAAAATTGCCGAAACTTGTTTTGCCAAAATTCAAAGGAAATGTTAGGCAATGGCAAAACTTCTGGAACAGTTTCAACAGTTCCATTTACACAAACCCACAACTAACTCTGATCGATAAGTTCAACCATTTACATTCGTTACTGGAAGGTCAAGCCGCGCGTTGAATTCAAGGGCTTCCAAGAACTGAGGCTACTTACAACTCTGCGATAGATATTCAAGTAAACGTTTTGGCAGGCCTCAGAGCATTATTTCGAAATACATGGATGAGATTCTTAAAATTCCCGCATGTGTGAATGAAGACACCGCCCAGCCTGGCCTTATGTACGATAAAATAAGCATTAATATCCGTGGTCTAGATTCTTTGGGAGTAAGTTATAGCCAGTATGGAAGTCTCCTCATCCCAGTGATACTGTCAAAATTACCGCCCGAAATCAGAGTGCAAGTCGCAAGAAGTACCGTGCACGAGGTCTGGGAATTGTCCGATTTGTTGAAGGTCACCCGACAGGAAGCCGAGGCCTGAGATATCAGCAATGGTGTAAAAGGGAATGTACATTTAGGGAGAATCAAAGAAATCCCGATGAGAAGGCCAACTAATTCAACCCTGTTCTCGCATGATAGGTCTCAAACTCCACAACAAAGAAATCCATTAAAATATGTTTAGTGTGGTGGGCTCCTTTTTTCGGTTTCTTGTGAGTGTGTGAGCGATTCACAAGCCCGTTTCGAAATTCTCAAGAGAGACCGAAGATGTTTTGTGTGTATAAAACACCGATCACTAGAGTGGCTCATGCAACAAGAACTGTCGTCGATGCCATGGCAACCACGCCTCCGTAGTCTTCAACAAAAATTGTTAAGAGAGCCGGAACTAGTCAACGAATATAATCAAATAATTGAAGAACAATTGAACAAAATCCCCGTGGAGGAACCAAACGAGATAGAAAGCGAAAATGTGCACTACTTACCACGTTGAGGCGTATTTAGTCCAGTGGTCATGGACTCTGGGTTGGACGACCCGAGTTCGAGTCCTGACCGGGGCATGGCGTTGTGTCCTTGAGCGAGACGCTTGACTCACATTGCTTCGTCTTCTCGGATAAGACGTAAAGCTGTAGGTCTCTTCTCCTACAGGGTTAGGGGTAGGATACGTTAATTTCCCGCGCACGAGATTGCTGTGTGGTGGATGTCCTTCCCTGGAGTGGGATGGGTGGGAAGGTTAGATCGATACATGGACTGAAGCCGCTGCCAGAGGCGCCTGATATGCAGACGTCCGATCTCAACCTTAAGAACTCGCAATTCAGCATTAATTGCTGTAAGTAGTTGTTCTGAAAACGATTGACGATTTTACGATTTACCACACCACGCCGTCATCCGAAGAGAGCGTGATACAACTAAGCTGAGGATCGTGTATTATGGATCAGCTAAGTCACCTGGGCGTACTCATTCCTTGAATGATTGTCTCTAGACCGGGTCAAATTTCACTCCTCAGGTATTCGACATGCGGATTAAAATCCGGTGGCACAAAATTGGTCTGACAGCCGACAATGAAAAGGCATTTCTAATGGTTCGAATCAACGAAGCAGACAGAGGCATGTTGCGATTCTTGTGACCCAAGGATCTTGATAGTATAAACTCCGAAATTGTGCATTTGATGTTCACCCGTCTCTTATTCGGACTGAGACCATCACTAGCTATTTTAGCATCGAGAATTCGACATCATTTGGATGAAAAGGTTTCAGAGGAGTTCAGACCGGACGTCATTTAGCTCTTGAAGAATTCTTTGTACGTGAACGACCTTGTCACTGGTGAAGCAAACGAAGATAAAATGTTAAAACGGTACGTAAGGTCCAAATCAATTATGCAGCGGGAAGTATTTAACTTGAGAAAATGGAAAACGAATTCGAGGATTGTACAGGAAGCGATTAATCGATCTGACGTCCGGGTGAACTCGAACATTTTACAGGTGAGCAAGAAAACGATTATCGAAGAGGACGAATCCTACGCTAAGACTACAGACGAAACCCCACTTGTTTCTGATCAGGCATGCGGCAATACTACCGTCAAGGTGTTGGGCTCGATTTGGAATGCTGCTACCGATCAGTTTATGTTCGATTTGGCAGATCTCTCCGAACAAGCAAGGTTACTCCCGGCTACGAAGCGATCGTTGTTGAAGATCTTAGTTAAGATATTCGATCCAGTGGGACTGTTAGGCCCGTTTACCATTCAATGGAAGATTTTAATTCTTCGACAAGTAAACCCTCTCTCTAGGATCCCTTCGAGAACGAAGAGTGAAAACTCCCCAGAGGTTTTTCCTGCATTGTTCTGGCAGTGGTTTACTATCCGAGGCAATCCACTGCGAATGACAAAAGTCTACGAGAATGTCTGTTTGACTCTTTAACCTTGGTGGAGGCCCGATTTCCTAGTTGCGCTCTTATCAATTGTGGTGATTTCAGTCGCTTCAACACTTACGGCCTGACAAACCACTCCCGGTTGAAACAAATTGTCAAGGCACCTACAATAGATAACGCTACACTTGACTTGAACATTACAAATCTCCAGGCATTTTACAACGATCCAGCCATTTTTCCACGATTTAGCTTGTTCGATCATGCGCACCAGAAAACCAGAGCCAAGACTCCGAAATCAACTCAGTATATACTAAAGAGAAACCTACGTCCTAGCCGTAAAACTGAACTCGGTCGTTACTCGAGTTCCCCTCACTAGCCACTTTTGTTTACATCCCTCAAGACCTGTGATGATCTGGAACGAGCTCTCAGGGAGGCTATCCTAACTCATTTCGCCCATTAAAAGAGTGCGCCTGAACACCAACGATCCCCCCTGGGTTACTCCAGAGCTGAAGTCAATGATCATCAAACGACAAAAGCCTTCCACCGCCTGGGCCCTAAGTCCATTCGGTACAAATTTTATAAAAACACTGTCAATCGCAGACGTTAACTCTGCAAATCAAAGTTCTACGAATCCAAGATCCAACATCTCAAGGATAAAGATCCTAAAAGATGGTGGAACGAAGTTAAGCGGTTGAGTGGCTCACTCTTACGCTCAGGAGACCTACCTAACAGCATCAACATGCCTGAACTTAACAATCTACCTCCGGAAGACCTTGCAAATTCACTCAACTGCGCATTCCTAGAACCCTTAGAAGAATACCGGATAGATGACCCTTTTGTGCCACTACCCTTGGAGGACGCACCCGAATTCCTGGAAGTTGCCGAACATCAGGTTTACCAACTGTTGTGCAAGCTGGATTCAACTAAAGCCTGTGGCCCTGATGATATCCCTAATTGGTTTTTGAAGGAATACGCAGAGTTTCTTGCGTATCACATCACTGAAATCTTAAATGCCTCATCCAAGGAACAACGCTTACCCAGCATGTGGAAACTTGCCGATGTCAAAACAATCCCTAAAAGGAAACCCGTTAAAGACGTGAAGAAGGATTTAAGACCTATTTCCCTTACACCATGTCTTTCTAAACTGGCTGAGGATTTAGTCGTTACTAATTATGTCAAGCCCGCCGCTTTACGAATTTTAGACGATCGCCAATACGGCGCTGTACCGAAATCCTGTAGGACCCTAGCTTTGCTGGAAATGTTTCATTGTTGGACGAATGCTACAGGTGGCAACGGTTCTTCTTTTTGAACTATCTTATTTGATTACAGAAAAGCCTTCGACCTGATCAATTACAAGATCCTTATCGCTAAGCTAAGTACTTTGATCTTGCCGCACTCCATCATTGATTGGATTATCGATTTCCTTATCAACCGTCGCCAAAGCACAAAACTTGCCAAAGGATGCGTATCTGAATGGGGTTTGGTGCCCTCTGGTGTTCCTCAGAGTACCAAACTAGGCCCATGGCTCTTCGTCATCATGATCAATGACCTGTCCATTGTCGGCGCATCATTACGGAAGTACGTAGATGACACAAGAGTTTCCGAAATCATTCCCAAAGGCCAGTCAAGTAGCGCTCAAGAAAATGCCGATTCTGTGGCGGACTGGTCCGTTGACAACCGGTTCCAATTGAACACCGACAAGTGTAAGGAAAATTCGTATCTCATTCTCTAAGAACAATGCTGATCTACCACATTTATTCATTAAAGGCCATGGCCTAGAAACTGTTCAGAATGCCAAACTACTTGGAGTGACTATTAAAAAAACAATCTTTCTTGGAACTTACACATTAACGAAACTATCAAGAAAGCGTTTAAACGACTTTATTTTCCTAGACAGCTTAAACGTGCTAGGGTCCCTACATCGGACTTAGTAAGATTCTAGACATGTTGTATTAGATTCGTCTGTGGCTCTGCTGTACCGGTTTTTCATTCATCTCTGCCTAGCTATCTAATTAATGACTTAGAACGAGTTCAGAAAAGAGCTCTATCAATTATTTTCCCTCACTTATGTTACAACGAATCGTTAGCCCTTTTAGACTTGGATTCACATTTTGATCATCGCAGTTTTTTATGCAATTCACTTTTTAATAAAATCCTACACGACAAAGAGCATAAACTACACCACCTGCTTGCCCCAAGACATACCCCTAAATACAACTTAAGGCAGAGCCGAGTGTTTGATATTAGTTACAAAACCAACCGCACCAAGAGCAGTTTTATTAACTTTCAGTCTAATTTAATTAACAATGATAAGAATGTATTTTAGGTTGTATTTTATAGAGAACATTTTATCTCCAGTATTTTTTACAACATTTTAGCTACACAGTTATTGTAGGTAATTTAGCCAATGGCTGCCATGTACATACTAATGAAGTATCTCCCACACGTAACGCAAAAGTGTTTCGTAGATCAGAATTTGTCACCAATTTGCGCGCGGCGACGACTGGGACATGACTTTACTAAACGTCGTCTTCGAGAAAGAAGTCGTTGATTAGTAAGCTACTTTATCAAGAGAACCCTTAAGACGCTTTTTGTATCACCGCTAAAACGTGCTTCCACTCTGCGAATGATCAATCACTACCATCTGAAAGACAAAGTAAACAACCATTATGAAATTATTTCGTCCATGCCATTTAGTTATTGTGGAATGGACACTGTCGTTAAAAATTACTGAAAGGATTCAATTGGCAGAGTTGATTTTATGATGCTTTCATTTTTTATTTTGCTTTTCTATAGCCGATCTTACAAACGGAACGAAAAGGATTATCTTCAACCTTTTCAAGGCCAGCTCACGTTGACCCTTGATCAAGCTCGCGAGGGTACCAGTTACAATTATGTTGTGACCATTGGAGAAAACCACTTTTGGGAGGACTTGGCCGAGTTTTTACCTAGACGTGGAGTCTTTAGCACTGTCAGCAGGGCACTAAACATTCCGAATGATCATATTAAACCAGATGGTAAGGTCTTTTTGCTTTATCTGTCAGAGAGCGAAGCTTAAGTGGCGTTGCATGTTGCCTTTTAACACTTTGTTATTCCTACCCCAAAAAGGAAAAAGGGGGCAAGATACCGCAAGCCGGTGAATATAAAAAAGCCATCACACAAATATCTTTAGAAGAGTCAATCGAATAGTCTTAGGCGCGTTTTCATCGAAAAGATAGGTTTTCTTTGTGTTGACAAGTAATTTAGATCTACAAAGTGCGAAATTTGAACGAAATTCATATTTTTGGATATTTTCCTTGTTTACAATATTTGCACGTTTTCCCCCATGAAAAATTGACAACCTCGGAGTACTACTGTTCGTTTGAATTGTCTGGATATTCGTTTTATGACCACTCTCAGGTCAGCATCTGTTCGGAAGCGAAACGGAAATCAAACTAACACGTTTATTGGTAACACGGTGAATGGAAACTCTGACGGTAAACGCCAACGACCGCCAAACAAATCGCCACTCCTCAAAACTTTCAACTCCTCTCTAAGAAGCTTGCACGGACCAAAAATAAAAAGGTCCCCGTGATTTTCTAACGATATCTTAACCTACGCAATCCCAAAGCACGTGCACACGAGTCGTACGCGCACAAGTTCGGTAACGTCTTCTCAACAGCATCCAAAGATAAATATGCAAGGTCATTATAAAATTGATATGCGGGGCGTGGCACAAGGTGAAATTTATTATTTAGAGGGCACGGAAATTCTACGTCACACGTTTTCCAGAGAACAGTTTTCCTAATGAAAACGTGCGAAAACATTAATTATTTGGGTAATTATTTAGGGTGATCGAGGAAAGATGTAGAGGATGGAAGGGCTTATGAAGAGATTAGAAGGGAAGTCTGGGTGACACGCTACCCTCTTCATCGGGAAAATTGTCTTACTAATCTTTCAATATAAAGAAATTATGAAACTCTGATTATGCATGTGAAAAATTGCAAGAATTAATGAAATAGATAAGATAAACGAAAGTGATAAGCTTTTGTATATTTGTTTCCTTGGCTTTGAAATCTTTCCGTGTTACTGGATTTTCTGCAAATCCTCGGCTTGTAGTTAAGCGAAATTACACCAAATAAATTTGAAAATACACCCAGTGCGAAGTACATCAGCCCTTGCAGAATTTTTTGGATCCTTGGAGAACTTTCGGCAAGAGCAGGCTTAGTTGCCCATGCCTCCATAGCTTACTTCTGAAGCGACTAAGAGTATTAATTCTTCCCTAGATTTGATGCTACTCCGTCTTCGATTAACCCAAGTTTTTTCATCTTCCCTTACCAGTTTACTGAAATCCCTCCATACACTCGTTCAGAATGAGAGAACGCATAAAAGTTTAAGTTTCTTGTGGAAAACATAGCAATTCTCGATCCGATAGCGAGCGATATGAGGATTTATCCATTGGTACTCTTGAAAAGAAATCGCCCTTTGACGATTATACTTCCTTCTGTATCTTTGCAGTGACATGGGATCAAGTGGACGGAGTGGCGTATTTTTACGAAAAAAAGTCTGTTTTAAAAGGAATTGACCAGAAAGCTGAGTATTGCTCGATGGCGTTTCATTGTTACCTGCCAAAATGGAGAGGCTTTCTTTTGAACGAGGCAACTAAACTGATGAATGCCACAGAAGCATTGACGAGACTGAATTTTGTTGTGGACAGCCTCTCAACTGTTTGCATACAAGAAGGTCTTAGCCAACCTAAAAGGAAGCCCTCACGTTTCAATGGTCAAAAGGTTGATTTTAAGACTGTTATTGCTTTATAGTTGTAAAGACTTCTTTGTTATAGTCAGGTTAATTTGTTATAACATTGCGTATTATGCACGTTGCTTATCGCTCGCGCCCAGCACATACGGTATTCTTGCTAGTGTCTGCTTAACACAGGTTTTCTTCTCAAGGTTTAAGTTTATTGCACGATGACAAGCTTTAGTTGCGTTCTTTAACAACGTCAGTTCTAAAAAAGACAAATCTGGCCATAACGAGTTGTTGCGATACCTGATTTCAATGGACACCATAAATCAAGAGGACAATAAGTAAAGTCCTGTTCTTTCTCTCCGCTGACTCGAACGAACGTGTATCATGGTTCAACGGAGATCTCGATTTAGCAGATGCGGGCACTTAAATAAGGCCCTATCTTGACCCAAATCCTGTGTTAGGTAAGCACTTCAAGTGGTTTTACCTTAGATTTTATATTTTTAGAGGAAGTAAGCAGCTTAAAAAGGTCCGATCAGTTCATGGAAATACATGTATATTCGACTTAAAATAAGTGGAACTGCCGCTCCTACTCGAATACGGGGACCTTCCGCTCTTTTTTCAAAGTTTAAGTGTGGCTAGATAACTGATGGGTAGATTTTTGTTCGTTCACCTACCTGCTCAACTGGTTAGCTTGGCTAAATCTATATATTACTTTTGAATTTGATAATTTCCGCTCCTTCCTCCAGTACACAACGTAAAATGAATCAAATAAGACGACGTTTTCGATTTTTTCTTCCTTTTTTTTCGGAATGAATCTGAGTTTTCTCAGTCCGTTTTTGGTCAGTTCTTACTTCGACAATTACTGAAATGAGATAAACGTTCATAAATTGAGATGGGAATACATCAGAAACTTTTCCGAACGGCGTCCTCCTTGATATATCTGTTGGCATCTGTCATTGTGGAAGGTCCTGATAATTTCACGGAATCCATAACGGTATTTCTGTCTGCCAAAGATTCCCATCCTGAACAACACTGAGGGTAGTGTTGATCTTATTTGCAGGTATTGTTGGACCTTTTGATGCCAAAAGTGGAAGCCAACATCGCCATCTTGACTGAAAGTAAATTCGGGTCAATAGATCACAAGTCCGCATTGATTTCATCACTAGCTATCATTGTCGTTTTCAAAAGGTACTCCATACACTTTAAGAGAGAGAAAGGGATTTCACTGTTGGGTTGTCTCGCCTTTGAAGCAGATCTGCATGGAGAACTGCGTTCTGTTTGTGAAGAGGTGGTGGCCGAATTTAGCACTGAACTGAGGAGGTAAGTAAGTAATAGACGTTAACAGATGTTACTAAAACATTTTGTTTCATGGCTCCTTTAGCAAGCCCACGCTAAACTTTGTTTTGTTTCCAAGAAATGTGTGGGTAATGTGGGTAATTAAGAGAGATAATTACATCGCTGACTGCGCCTTTGGGCAACATTAAGCGAATCCTGTGTTCTGATTGACTACCCAAGCGGGCACGATGGGCACATCTTGCCTGCTCGGGATTGCCCCCTTAGGATTGCCCGCTTTGTTCCCGCGCAAGAAAAAATGTACTTAAAGTTCGTAATTCTTGGACAATGTCGGCAATGGGGGAGGAAAAAGTGGCAGAAGATAGTCAAAACAAAGAAAACAAAATCGACTCATGAGTTTATTGTGCTACAATCACAGTTGGCCTTCTTTCCCTGCTCTCGAGGTAAATAAGTCATTCCTAATGAAGCGAAGTCTTTTAGCCATATAATAAATCCCTTATTGACCAAGCTTGTTCTGTCCTGATGGCTGGATATTAGCCTACTTCTTTTTTTGCGTTTTTATGAACCTCATCTTCATCTTGGTCCTTGAAAACGTAAAAAAAGAACTCGGCCAATATCCAGCCATCTTGGCCTCATCCTTGGTCAATAACACACATGTATAATTTTTGAATTAGCTATTTTGCCATCGTCATCGACCGTGACATCTAAAAAAAAAGGTCCTAATAAAGATCTCCTTTGAGATCGAATCAAGGATAGAGTTACACAAGAATAAGGAAACACTTATAAGTGTTTCCTGCCAGCCAAAGGTTTTTTTGAAATCACTTTCTTGAGGAGCTTAGAACCAGGCGCAATGTAGTAACCGAGCCTCCCTGTGGTTTTCACATGAGAAAAAAGGGAAAGACAGACCGGCACGGATTTCCTACGTGGCTTTTGTGGTCGCGTCGCACTGTCGCCTTCAAATTATATATTTTTGCTCTTACAAGCGGGTCTTTAAGGGATTTTCCCTTTTTGTAAGAGATGATCAAAGGTTTTATAGAAGTTCTTTTAAGCACAGGCTGTCTGACAGGGTTCTCATTAAGTGCCGGCAGCCGGCTAAAAAACCGGCTACCTTAAATTTAAAGCCGCCTACTTTTCGGTGACAAGCTTGCCTCCTTATTTTGTATCTACACGTTTATTTCAAAGTTAAAAATCGCGTGAATTGAACGAGTAATACTTGAAAGCCGTTTTCAGCAGCAAAACGTATTACGCAATGCCAATGCGCGCCTTCTACCTTATGCGAAATTCCGCTGACCGGTGTTTGTTGTCAACAAGTGCGGTGTAGCGTTCGGCGTGTTAGAAGAAGGCATGAAATGGCGTTCGGCATGTTAGAAGAAGGCATGAAATCTTAGTATGTAATTAATTATCGAGTACCCACGAGTAAAAGAAAACCCACTTCAAGCCAGCCTGGAATTGATCGATATTTCTGTAAATCACGAAGAACGGAAAGCCAGGTAGACGAAGGTGAGAAAACTACTGCCCTTTTTGGGGTGTAGTCTGGTCCCATTATTAGGATTCGAAGAAAAGAAAGATGTTCAGTAACTGTTCACCGCAAGCAAATCTCTGTCGCACGGTCCAAACAAACATAGCGAGCAACTGAGCTACTAGTGTATGTTTGTGTTAAAACACACGAAAGGACTCTAAAGCACACTTCACTCTGATTGGGCAGAAAAACACAAAGATTTTCTGGCAGCAATCAGATAGCAGAACGACTGCGACCGTTTGGAACTAGTCTTGTAAGACAATGTCTCCAGGGGCTCTTCATGCCCTTACTTGAAATCGACTCAGCCCCAGGGTCTCCGAGGATGGGAGGGGACATGCTGCCAGACCCCCTTAGAGGCTCATGCCTGTGGTACTCGCTTCTCCCGCCCCCTACTTTTATGTTTCAGCCGTCTACATCAAAAACGTATTGAGAACCCTGTGATTGTGTATCAGACTCCAATGTTCTATCAATATTTTGTTTTAAGTTTTATATTGCCAGTACTGTGTGTAAGTGCAAGAGGTTTGAGAGGTTCGTGGGTCTGTTATCTAGTTGCGCTTTGGCCTCTTCTATTTTTTTCTGTTTATTCTTATTCGAAGTTCATTCAAAAAAAAAAAAAATTAACAGAAGATTCCATTTTATAAATTAAACCCCATTACAAACCGACCGAGACCTTCCAATTTACGCACTTCGCCACGTGCTACCCACCAGACGTAATATGTGGTTTCATCAAAGGTGAAGCAACGAGATTGTTTGGAACTAACTCTTCAAAAAAAACATGAGGAGAGTCTATTCTCATGTGAAAACCATCCGGAGGCTTGGTCACTAAGTTTAGCCTATTTTCTAAGCTTCTCTAGAAAGTGATCCCCCAAAAATGTTTGCGTCCTGCCATACTATAAAATAGGCTACAGGGACGTATGTGACTACTGCCTAAGGTTAGAGTCGAAACAGTGCTACATGTGGTGTTGGGCTGTGTATGTGTGTGTGTGGGAGGGGGGTGGGGGGGTCTTCGCGGATATTTGAAGCAATGACGAATGTTTTGCAATGTAAGCATTAATTGAATAATCCATGCGCGATGCATCGAAGCTTTTAAGAAGATATTCTATGCTTCGTTTTGTTTTCTTTTCTCTCAAGTCTCTTTTGGCGTTATGAGACAAATGAATCGAGGAAAAGATTTGTCCCTGCAAGTCACACTAGAATCTTAATTCATCCCACGAGGGCTTTTTTTAACCAATTTTTTGAGATTTTTCGGCGGATTTGATAAATTGTAACATGCAGGTGTTTCTGATGTAATGATTAACTAAAGTGCTAGGCAGCTCTGGCTTTTGTATCTTTTCCTGAAAGTTGTCATTCAGAGAACCTTCCGTAATATACAGTAGAAACAGGTAAACAGTCATTGTTGAATACAAAAGTGGTGGTACAGTAGGCTGTTAGAAGCTTCTACCATTAGTAGGAAAGAAAAGAAAATGTTTTTAAATTACTTTAGCATAATTAAATCCACCGGCATTGAATGTGAGTTAAGAAAAAAAAAAAGCTGGTATTATTACAAATGAAATGTAATATTAATCAAATGAGTTACCATACAACAAATTAAATAGCAGATGTATTCTTAACAATGACCGAAGGATACTGGGAGGGGCACAGAAACACAAAAGCACATTACCAACTTTGAGTATTTTATTTATGGATTGTCAAGGAAAAAGAAAGTCCTTCGTGAAGTTAATACGTTTCTGTATTCTGTTTAAAATTCCATTTTAATTTATTTTCCCACGGTTCCTTTCTTTTTTTTCTTTATCGTTTGAATCACTTGTTAAAGGTATTCTAGACGGTTCATTAAGCAATGTACCACACTTTCTATCGGTTTTCCAGCTGATAAACCACACAGAACTCGGGAGAACATTCGAGAGGTTTGTAAACCACGAGGCATTAGACCTTCGTCATTCGCCACCTCTGACGAAAAGCTGGTGCTTGAAACGTCAGCTTTGAAATTCTTTGCGGTGGCTAATTTACAATATCAACTCAGTTGATAAAACCAAAATTACCTTGTGCATAGAAATAGTCACGTAACATAATCGTTACTAACTTTTAACTTATCACAGTTTTCAGCGTAAGCATAATCGTCGCGTAATCAGTCGCGTAAACATAATCGTTACTAACTTTTAACTTATCACAGTTTTCAGCGTAAACATAATCGTCGCGTAATCAGTCGCGTAAACATAATCGTTACTAACTTTTAACTTATCACAGTTTTCAGCGTAAACGTAATCGTCGCGTAATCAGTTGCGTAAACATAATCGTTACCAACTTTTAACTTATCACAGTTTTTCAGTGATAACTTTGCATAAAAACTTTCCAAATGGTTCAACACATCTTTCATATCAATAGTCTCTCGATCTATGAAGGATTTACTTGCAGCAGTTTGAGAACATGCGACTTGAAATGGGCTTGTTTACTATCGCAGGCTTTGTTTATCTGGTAAACTGGCTCAAGATTCCCACAACGCGAAAAAGTCTCATGTCAGTTTCGCTTAAGTACCTTTGTTTTCCTTTGAGACCTTTATTAGTGTCGTGAACGCGCTCAATTCTCCGTGGAATATTAATTATTCCACAACACGAGTCTATTATTCTCAGTTATGGTATCTCACAGGCCCGTAAACATCGACCCAAAAGCTGAGATGTGCTCATGAAACCTTTCACCGGATAAGTGAAATTTAAAGCAAAAAATGGAAGTTGGGAGAAGTAATTATTACAAAATATGGAAAGAGCCATTTACCTCAAATTTCGAACGTTTAAACTTCCCCAAGAACCGCTCAATCTTGTGATAGCTTTAATCGTGTCTGAAGAGCATAAGGGAGCGGATCATTTCGTTTGTTATCGGGATTTATTAGTAAGTCGTCGCCTTTTCGCTAGAGTCCGCTGAAGACATCATGTTTTAAGAACAGAATAAATTCTGCTATTTCATCGATATTTATAGATTAATCAGCATTATCGTCATATAGTCAGCGAAACAAACCTCAGTTTATCTCAAATTTACCCTTTTATGCTGAAAAGAATTTTAAATAACAGTAGAATATTGGCCAAAAGTTTTTTATCGAGCACAGTCACAATTCTAGTTTTACTTGATTTGATCTTGTTTTATATTTCATCAGATTTGCCGCAAACGCTGTTGAAAGCCTTTATGATAAGTCAATGAGATCCACCACCGCGAAGATTGACTTAAGGTGGCTCATGGATGTTCTTAGATCAATGCCTGAGCAGCAAAGCAGTACTTTTACAAGAAACGAGGACCATAGCTCAAGCAACAGTCAAATTCAAGGTAAATTTTTCGAAAGTTATTATACCCTACATGCCGAGGACATTTTGAATTGTTTTACAACAAATCCAGAGCGAAGTAAAGCAGCAGCGAGAACACCAACAACTACATCAACAACAGGAACGACAACGACAATTTCTTGAAGAAATTGTTTTTTTGGCTCAACGGCGAGTTATAAAGATACGACAAAATGTGGCGGTATAATTTGTCTAAGGGTGATTGGCGATATTAAGCAAACGTGGAAAAATTCTTTTTTTTCACGTTTTGTGCCCCCTCTCTATTTAACAAACTAATCCTAACTTTATACAAATCATACCGCCAAGGTTTTTTCTTTTATATAAAATTCACGGCACTCTGTCACAAAAATACAGATACAGAGACCTAAATGGTGATTATTTCAAAATGAAGACTACAATAAGTAACCTATTGCAGATTTAAAATCTTTAATTTGATTAGGTTAAAATTTTTACATCACACTCCCAGATTTAGAAGGGAGGGGGGAGGTGCTTGACTAATGTGTGAACATAGGTGTGCTATTTTAAAAGTTTTTTAAAGCTCTCTCCTGTCTACAGGACAAAAAATGAAAGCTGTATTCAAAACTCACATAAGACAGCAACCTTGAGCTTCAGTATAACTGCACTGTTGAGTATCATGTTTCTCCTCGTGAGACTAAGATCGTGAGGAGGAAGACTAGCAGTTCATTATATAACTTTTAACAGTTTCGGGCTTAAAAGTCCTTTCTTCGTGGCATAGATATCATTAAGTTATTCAGCCGAGTGGTCTGTCCAGTAGAAGGCCACGTGCTGGAATTTTTAATTTGGTTCGATTGATTGTAGATGAAGATGAATTGTTTTCATTTTCTTTTGATATATACGTTCTATTTCGATATATTGAAACGTGTCTTTTGCAGTCGTTTCGACTTTGTTATCGCTTTAATAAATTTCGATGCGTTCTCCCTAGCCTGCGAAGCAAGCCCTGGGGGAAAGGAGGGGGATTAGGAGGAGCGGAATGTGCGGACGGGAAAGGGAGGGCTTGCCACAGACCCCCACTAACTAACGAAACGCCCCCTATTTTCATATTCATATCGTCTTGCTTGTGTCAATCAGCGCCTCTTAAAATTAACCAATGAGAAAGTGCCATTAGCGAGAGCTCAGTGAACCATAGAAACTGTCAAAACAAGAACTAAAACTTGCTCCACGTGAGCGAGAAATGTCAGACGACAAGAAGAATCTGGTATCAAAATTTAAGAGATGGATAAAGCCAAAAGTAAATCCAGAAGGCGTAGTTTGCCGGTTTCGTGGAGTAGATTTAAGAATTAAATTTGGAAGTGGCTTCAAGAGTTTTGTAAACATTTTTAATCAGATACGATGAATATATGAAGTTCATATATTTTGAACTGCGGTTAT